GGCGAAAATTTCGTCCGTTTGGCTCTATCTTAAACGATTTAGGCGCCACTGGGAGTTTTTGACGAAAATCAGCGAAACAATGTACAACCCTGCATTCTTAGTCGAGGTGACGGGAAGTTGACAAGCCGAAGGCCCGTATCTTTGCGTACATTTTTGCGCTTCCCGACTCGGGTGTCAGCGCCGCAGGCCTAGGTAGATGTATGCCAGGCGCGTCGCAGCGTAACAGTGTTTCGTGAGATATCGCGAAGCCTGTTACGCGAGACGAGGTCTGACGTACATCTACCTAGTATAAGTTAACGTTATAACTTTAAGGTACGAGTAAACGATTATAACCATTATGAAGCTAAGAGCTAGACACTCAGATGTCCAGAATGTTGCCGTATAACTGGGCAGCGTAATAACATAACCGGGTGTATCAGAGCCTCAGTGTTGCGGGCTTGCCTAGACTCACTTGCCCGTAATGCGCCATGGCTCCTACAGCCGTACCGAGTATGCTAACCCGCAACACTGAGGCGCGTGCTCTGCTAATGATCGCGCAACATTGGCCGTGCCCACCTTCATGAAGGGCTTTGTTCCCTTTACGAAAAGGTTTGTATGCTGTATCGCAGGCAGCGTGGGTTGCCGGGCGGGTTGCCTTCTCGGAGTTGTGAGGCATTATATGCTTAGGGTAGAGCACCAGCTTAGAACCAGTGGCAACTCCGCCCAGCCCAATTCTTGTAGGTCCACTCTCCAAAGAAACGAGATTTGTATCGCGCGTACCTTGCGTTTAGTGCCATACTCTGTGTTGTGGGCGTGCCTACCCCCCCCCCCCCCGCCGGGGATCATGCCCCCCCCCCCCCCGGTCAGGTCTAAAGAGCCCCCTGAAAAGTGGGAATTTAGAGGTACGAAACCCCTGTATGTAGGCAACCCTCAGCACATATCGCCTCCCCCATTGTCCGGACTTAAAACCGCGCCTGCTACCCCAACCCTGGGTAAAAAAACCATGGGGCTGTCCATGAGCCATGGACATAAATTTAACCATGGATTTTTCTCACCATAGATTTATGAAACCAGTAAACCATGAAAACAACAGTTGACCATGAGTATATAGTGGATGGATTGCATGGCCATGGCCATGTGCTCCATGGCAAGGGATGACCATGAGAATTGGCTTTCATGGTCACAACTAAGTCCATGAATGTGTCCATGGTTACTATTACCATTGTCATGCAGAACGTCCATGAACACACGTTTGGACATGGTACTGTTATCAATGGACACAAATACTATGATAGAACTAATCAATGGCCAACTGTA